TGTGCTAGTTGGTTGGCGTTAGCGTGGGTAACTAGACTCCGGAGTAGATTACGGATTCTTCAGTTGACAATCTTGACAGTCCACATGCATTCCATCCATCTGTTCTCGCAGATTTGCAGCACTTCTTTACCACATCCTCGTTTCTGATAGTCTTTTGAAACCACACACACACACACACACTGCCAACTTCATACTGGAGCATTAGCATCAGAAACGTTTACCAAGTTGGACAACATAAGATATATGTATCATTTTTCCATTGATATCGCCTGACCGACGGGGTCATTATGCAAAATTCATTCCACCGGTCCTAGGATATTTTTTTGGCTAGTTAGCATGAACTTAAAGGTGCATGGTTGGGGTATTGAATGCCAGAACCTCAATGGATGGTCGTCTATGCGTTATCCGGCTATAGAGATATTTTAGAGGAAGAAAAGATGATAAAACAAGTCGACGACATCTTATTGTGACCTCATCTGCTTATGCCTTAAAAACACTGGTGTACTCACTACGTAATGGATGAGCCCTATATCACTAGAGCTGACTAGTTTACTACTAAAACACGAATGCTTTCACTGACTGGTTTCTACATATAACTATGTACTGATGCACAGCAGCACTTTGAGTCTCCGCAAATTACTCAGCACACACAAAACAAGCGAAGAAAGTATAAAGAAATGCAAAATAGAGACAATAAACAGAGATGTGGAAGAACAATGTACTTCGATTGGATATTATAAGCCACAAGGTGTGGATGCATATCCGCCTGGCCATCCGTTGAAGACGACCACTTTGAGTCAGCCATATTGCTAGTTGTATCCAGCCTTCGTTAGTTTCACCATCCTGAGGACTCCAACCAGTCAGTCAGGAAGGAAGGAAGTCTACACCTTCCTATGTGGATGGCTGACTGGCTTAAACTAACTGTTGTCAACCTCATTGACTGACGAAGCCATGTTTTGGTTTGACCACCACTAGCTGACTCTTTTCCAGCCTAATGCATCCTATGTCAGCTAACACTGCCTGCACGCACTTCATAATGTCTGCTTCGATGAGCAACTGTCCTCACCATCGACCTGCTGTAGTCTACTGATGACGGCTTCCCAGTAGAACCCAAGGTAACTAACTACCTTTTCGAAGAAGTTATCAAAGTTGTGTGCCTCTAAGTAGAAAGAAAAATTTAATATATTCTCTCTCCTCAAAGATCAAGAAAATATGTAGTGAGAAGTCCCTTGACGAAGAATCACGAAATCTCCGAGGGAAATTGATAGAAAATAGTTCCCCTTAAACCAGATTCAAAGACAAGAATCTTAAAAACAAAGAAACTACCTTTAAAGGTCCAAATCATCCCCAAAAAGATGCTGCTGATGTCTAAACTCAAATTCAAAGGCAATACGGAGGCAGAACTTCTCCGTAAACGGCTTTCGAAGTCTCTCAATAAAATATACTTCGCTGCCTGCCTACAAGTGAGATTTCCCTGAGAGAAACTATTCAACCAACATGTACGTGAAAGACAAGCTGTAGCAGTGGGCCACTTCAACATGTTTATACCAGTTCACTTGCTCATATGGAGCTGAATACATTGGCCGTACCATTCATCCGCTTGTGAAACACACTAGGGAACACTATCCACAGCCTGGTAAGCAAAGGAAGAACACATGTGTGTGTATACATTCCGACAGCAGAACATCTAATGTATTCAGGACATTCAGCTCTATTTGAATAGTCCTTCAAAGTCCTATTTACAAGATCCGATCAAACCTATCAAAAGGAGTAAAATCAAGACATCTAAGAATAGCTGAGACACTGACGATTCAAAAGCTCAAGTATACTCTGTGTTTAAAAGAAGTACATCCAATCCAACCGTTGTCCCTACTGTGGTCATCATGAAAAGTCTGTCCCACCAATGATGATTATCCTGTTACCTTTCTTGTTCATCCTTCATGTTTATTTCTGTTATTTTTGCTTTCTTAATTTCTGTCTGCGCCACTTTACGAATCATCATTGAACAAAGTTTAGAATGGCAGTCACCTCTCTATCCCACTCAACTTCATCGACTTGAAAAGGCCTTCAATAGTGCAGCGTCGATCGAGAGGTCATTTGGAAACTACTTCGCTACTACCAAAGGGGGCATCGACAGTTATACATCTCATCCAACAGTTATACGACAATGCTGCTTGTATGACAAGTAATCAACAACGGGAAACTTACGGAACCCTTCTAAGTGAGGACGGGAGTGAGACAAGTCGGCTGGCTGCCTACTATCACCAATGATCTTCCTGACTGCAGTAGATTGGATAATGCGACAGACAACGGTACCCAACGAGGGAACAGGCATAAAACGGACTCACACAAAAAGAGACTTGGAGGATCTGGACTTCGCCGATGATGACATATGTCTGATTTCCCACAAACTGGAAGAGATGCAAGTGAAAAGCAACAAGTTGGCCAAAGAAGAAGCATCAAAGATAGGACTTCAAGTGGACATAGATAAAACAGAGACAGGTGATGAAGATTCCTGGCCAACACCAACAGCAACGACAACAACAACAATCAGCCAGCATAAATGGGAGGAACCTGAAAGAAACAACCTCCTTCACCTACCTGCATGGGAAGTATCGTTTCAATTACTGCCGGGCGGAACTGACGAGGATATCAAAGCCAGAATCGGAAAAGCAAGACAAGCTTTCATTACTCTCAAATCTGTGTGGAGGAGTTGAACAGCAGTCAGCATCAAAAATAACATCCGGATTTTCAACTCCAATGTGAAGTCAGTGCTACTCACTATACGGATCAGAGACTTGGCCAGCGCGTCATAAAGAGCATCTCAAACAAACTTCAGACCTTCATCGACAGTTGTCTTCGCTCAATACCGCTCAAGATCAGATGGCCGGGAAGAAAAGATCAGGAACAGGGATCTCTGGCAATGAGCGAACCAATCAGGAACCGATTGTGAAACAGATAGGCAGGAAGAAGTGGAGATGAATTGGCTGGCCATACTCTGAGGAAAACATCAAGTGAGTGACATCACTAGACAAGCCATTGCTCAAGTGGAACCCGAAAGGGAAGCGGGCAGTGAGTTGGTCGTCAATGCAAGGGTGACTTGGAGGATGTCATGCGAGGAGAAGATGAAAGCATGTGGGCAGACTTGGAGCGGGTTGAGAAAGTTGTCAGAAAACAGAAGGCAATGGAGACGAGTAGCTGAAGTCCTTTGTTCCTCCAGGAATTAAAGGATATAATAATAAATAATATATATAATAACCACTGGATTTATTTTGTTTTTACATATGTCACAATTTCCTACCCATTTTCTTATTACTACATTCTTAATCCGTAACTTATGATCTACCCGATCCTCCTGATTATTACATTTTACAATTTTATCAATTCAACCTTGGACCGAAAATAATTCTGGAACTTTCTCACTCATTTACTGAATGAATACACGAATCTACAGCGCTATCTAGTTGACGGTGACTTCATGGAAAAAAGAAAAGCAAAGCAAATTTTCTTCCTTACAACTGTCCTTTCGATGACATATGTGGAAAGAGTGTAGCTCTTTACTGCATGCTTCCTTTTATATGACATTACTGATTTATTCCTTGACTTATGCAGGCAGACAGCACAGTTTCCACCACAGGCAGTTGGAAGGGATGAATATGTTGCAATCAGGCAGCCAGCTAGTCAGCCAGCCAGAATCACAAAAGACAAGCAAGATACACACGCCTTTATCAACCTGAAACCAGTTTGGAAATATTCTGCACTGCACTGCCCTCCACCTCAGCCACCATAAACAATAAGATTCGGATTCTATTCAGCACAAATGTTAGTGAAGTCATTAAGTCAGTCACTTCTTCTAGATGAGTGAGAAACTTGGCGTGGTGTCACAAAAAGTCTGTCTGTTTTCGACATAGAACTTTGCACATATGTGCGCCAGTTCAAGTCACCACACTCCCTCCATGTAACACACAAAGCAAGAGAAGAAAGTACAAGAAAGGCATAACAGGGAGACAGTAAGCAGAGGTGTGAGACAAAGGAGGAGTAATAACGAAGAACAAAACAGTTTCATAGGAGATCATAAGTCACAAGGAGTGGATGCATCTGGGCCAGCCAGCCATTGAGAACGATAAGTTTGAGTCATGTCACCAATTGTTTCCAACCATTGGTTTTTACCATCCTGAGGACCCCAACCAGTCAGGAAGTCTACACCTTCCTACGTGACTGGCTTAGACTAACTGTTGTAGATTTGATTGACTGGTGCCATGTTTTTGTTTGACCGCCGCTAGCTTTTTTCCAGCCTGACCCTGTATCCGCTAACATTGTTCGTCAAGGAAGGCGATGACTAGTCATGCATACGTAACACATGTCCTAACCATCTCAGTCTTTGTAACTTCACAACTTCATCGATTGATTTCCCCTGTTTACGAAAAGTATTTCTAACAGGTTACTGCAGACTTTTATGAACAGCTGACTCTTTCGATGGCCGGCTAGCTGGCTGGCTGGCTTGCTTCATACTGAAGATCGAATGGCCAGCCGGTTAGAAATAATTAGCAGCAATAAACTCTGGCAGCGTAGGTGACAACCTACAGTCTATCGCTCAACAAATGTGTAGGCAAAAATGCAGATGGATTGATTGATTGATTGGGCATACGTAAGGAGTAGTAAGGAGGAGTCCGTCGAATGACATTGCACTCAAAATGCAGGCAATCATTCAAGTGGAAGATGAATGGGTCGTCGGTATGAGATTGACATGGAGCGGATCGTATGGCAAGGAAGAGGATGAGACGACAGATTCTGAGGAATGAGGTGGTGTCAGGCAACTGAATAGGACAGGAGAAAAAAGTAGTTCAAAGTGGAGATGGATTGTTGAAGCCATTTCTAGGTTCCATTCAGAGCCCCAGAAAATAATAATAATAATAATAATAATTTCATTTAATTAGCTGTCCAACACAAATAATTTGAAAAGACAAATTATACCTTCAGAAAACGACTACCACTCTCACCGTGAACAGTTTTGTTTTTCGAAGATTTTGATTGACATCTGAAGGTTCACATACTCGTGGTCGACGACTTAATAGCCTTGCAGATGTTGTATATAATGGTGAAGATGATTTAGAGAGTTGTCTTTGCTGAACATCGACTAGAAGGTGTTCAAAATGTTCTCTGTCTTGGTTTCTATTATTATTCAAATTATTGTTGGTATTATTATTATTATTATCATCATTGAAAATCACAGGAGATTGCTTTATAAATTCTTTTTTAATTTGTTGCTTTTTTGGGCTTATCGTATTTTTGGTGCAAGTTGTGGGATCAAATCCAACGGGTTGTTGATTGATGTTCACATTTTCCTGAGGCTTACTAATTTCCTCAGTGGTTGTTGACAGTGAAGAGAAATTCATCTATAAAGACGACAAAAATAACGAAAGGAAATATTGATGAATACGTCATATATGGGGAAGTATTGTGGTAGTGTGTGTGTGTGACTGTGATACAGACAACACAATGTGTGTGTTCCAGCAGAATATTATTCACACTTCAACTTCTGTTCCCACAGTTCAGTACTGAATTTAGCAACAGAATACTGAGCTATATATGCATGTATTTGAACATTCTATTTTGTGTCGTTTAATATAAACCAAAATCACACACTTGCTCAATGATGATCGGTATTCCAGCACTATGTGTAAATAAATAGCGGTTTGATTAGTTGGAAATATTATACCTCGGCTTCCGTGTCTTGCCTTCTGCCGTTTCATATGATGTCTCTGCCTGCAGACAAATGAAAATCCGTGAACTTCAGGTTTTAAAGCAGGAGACATATTGATCTTCTATTAGGACTTCAAGGCTGTTGTGGAGTTGAATGGCATTCAAGATATGTCAGCGAAGAGACTGTTACTTGGAATGCTGCTGTTGCTGAGAGATTGGGGAAAGGCAGCCTATGATAGTGTGACGGAAAACTCCGGTGAATATGTGCCAACCAAGGTCACGCAAACTACCTATCAAAGCTGGAAGGAGCATACACGCGGTCACTGTGAGTCACCGGGATCACGTATATACAATCAGAAATGCAAACAAAGAGAAACTGGTAAAAAGTCAGCGATCTCCACAACTGGATACAGCAAGACAAGCAAAACAAAGACGGCAGCACCAAGAATGTTGAACCGACTTCACTGTAAAGTATTTGATGGGGGTGCAAGAGTGTGTTGGTGTGATGCATATAGTGAATTAAAAGAGGGTATTGTTCTCACAAATACTAGTCCCACAGCTGAGTCCTGCATTAGCAATAGAATACTATACTATATATATGTATATTTAAACATTCCATTTCGTGTCGTTTGATATAAACCAAAATCACACGCTCGCTCAGTGTGATGATTGTTTAAAGAATATATAAACCGTATAGATATAAACAGCGGTTTAATCACTTGAAAATATACCTTGGCTTCAATGCCCTGCCTTCTGCTGTTACGGTTGGCTGTCTCTACCTATCGACAAATGAAAAGTTCATAACCTGCAGTCTTTGAAGAAGTAAATATATGAATCTTCTTGTAAGACTTCGAGGCTGTTCCTGAAAAATCAATGGCGTTCAAGATACCCAAGAGAAGACGCTTTTACTTGGAACACTGCTGAGAGGTCTGACGAAGGCAGCATATGGTAGTGCAAGGCGAAACACTGTCGAATACGCACCAGGGTCATGCGTATTGCTTCTAAAGTGGGAGTGGAACATACACGGTTACCATGAGACGGGATCACGTATATACGATGAGAAATACAAAGAAAGAGAAGAAGGGAGTGAACGTCAGTGAGCTTCGGAACTGGATATACCAAGATAAGCTAACAAGCGACTAGCACTAAGAGGATCGAACCGACTTCAGTCTAGAGTATTCGATGTGGTGCCGGGGGGGGGTTGGAAGAATGTGACGGTGTGGTACAGATAAGGTGTTCCAACGGAATGTTATTGTCACAAATACTATTCAAGTAGTTCAATACTGCAATCGCAACAGAATACTATACAATATATGTGTATATTGGAACATTCTATTTCATGTCGTTTAATATAAACCAAAATCGCACTGTGTATATATAAATAGCGACTTAATTAATGGAAAGTATACACCTTTCCTACCGTGTCTTGCCTTCTTTTGTTACAGTATGACCACGTGACCTTATCTAGGTAGATTCTTTTCGATTGCCTATAAGCTAAGTAATACTGTGGTCAGAGCAGCCTGCTAGCCAATCTGTTGAAATTAATCTACGTCAATGTCTAGGTCACTAATATGGGCCGTGAGAAAATATGAACAAGGCTGTTTCAACAACCAATCACAGAAAACTTAAACGTGGGCGAATATGATTCGCAGATAGATGGCTCCACTCCACTTTCCGTCCGAGGAACTCGAAAACAACCAATGAGAAGACTGCGTTTGTCTACTTGACTGGTCTAAAATAATGTATGTGAAATTTATATAAATACGTGTTGATTTTGGTAATAAAACGATCTGTTGCCTGACACTTGTCTTCTGTTGTTACAATACTACTGGTAATGATTCTTCAATTGAAGAGATAAAGTACCTAGACTGTACTAGCCGCTTCTCTGATTGTATCTAGCAATTCAACTGCACTTGTGGTAGAGCGCGTGTTATATTGGCTGTTGCTCCATGAACTTGTTCTTTTTTGTGCTCGCCATCGGGAATACTCATCATTGTGGTGTTTAAGCAAAGGTGTAGTGAAAACCATCATCAGTTCGATATTGAAAAGTCCTTCTCTACCATTCATTACCTATAGGGTACCTAATAAATAGTCAAAAGCATCCAGGAGGTAGTACCCAATACTCCGAATAGAAGAGGTTATCAAAATTTACCCAAAATAACCGGTACTCTGTCTGTGTGTGTGTGTGTGCAGAAGAAACAAGTCCAACCAGCCACTTCTACTGCTCTCCACTGACCGGCCTTCAGTGGAGACTATAAATTCATGAGTTCTATATTACTATTATTCTCAATTTTTCTGATATTCAGTGTGTGGCGTTATTTTGATGCTGCCCAACTGTAATCTATTGATATTAATATTATTGATTCGATGTTATTTAAACAGCATTAATGTTGTTAACGGCACGAATTCAATCGGTGGTCGGTGGTACAGTGGTAACGACTCTCGCCAATCATGCACATGGTCCGAGGTTCGATCCCCTGCCACTGACGCACACCTGATATCTATGGTCGGCCTGCTACATTTGGGCTACCGATATCAATGCTGAAAATTCCATACTTGTACCAAAAATACAGTGTGGAATCAAGCTGTAATCAAAAAAATAAAATAAAATAAATAATTCACTATTATGAATGGATGCATATTACTGCATAGCGTAAAGATATGGAAAGCCTTGCTGGCTAGGTTTCTTTAATCATAGATGCCCTGTTCTATCTCCTGTGTTAGGTGGTGGTATAATAGGGTGAGCAATATTGAGGTGAGGCGTCAGTCGTCGAGTGCTAAGTAAGGAGGAGGGAAATCAATGAACAAGACTGTGAAGCAGTTACATCGATTGGGAGAGATACTTAGGACATGTGTTTCGCATGCACGCATGACTAGCTAGCCAAAGCCTTCCTCGATCGACAGGCAGTGTTAGCTGACATAGGATGCATTAGGCTGGAAAAGAGTCAGCTAGTGGTGGTCAAACCAAAAAATGGCTTCGTCAGTCAATGAGGTCCACAACAGTTAGTTTAAGCCAGCCAGCCATCCACATAGGAAGGTGTAGACTTCCTTCCTGACTGGTTGGAATCCTCCGGATGGTGAAACTAACCAAGGCTGGATACAACTAGCAATATGGCTCACTCAAAGTGGTCGTCTTCAGCGGATGGCTGGCGGAGATGCATCCATTTCTTGTGAATTGTAATACGTAATAATAAAACTATTTTGTTCTTCAACATTACCATTTCTGTATTTTGCATTTCTTTATACTTTCTTCTCTTGGTTTGTGTGTGTGTGCTAAGTGAAGTGTGGCGACTCAAAGTGCTGCTGTGCATCGGTGCAAAGTTTTATGTCGAAATAAGTTAGTCGATGATTTCTGTAGGATACATGGCGAGTCGAGGGAACTCGTACTGCTGCACTTATTCTGTGCAAAAACTTCTATGTTAAAATCAATCAGTCATTCACAGTTGGTAGATGTCAATGCCATAGTTGTTTGATAATGGTAACATACTTTATATATATAAATGACATGTGGTGCGGTTAAATTCAGATTTGTATGGTAGTATCAACTGAAATTTGTTTAGAAATGTATACACTTCATCACTAAGATTTCAGCAACAATTCATTACAGCTTTTTCCACAGTCCTGGTTTGGGGCTGTTCATCAGTACGCACCCAGCATCAGGGTTCAGACCCAGGTGGGCGCATGATGATGAAGAGCTAGTCCCAAAGAAGAATGGAGGAGACAGCTGTCCAGTACGCTATATATTCACTTTTAATGAACCTTACTCTTTCCATTCCGTCTGTCTGTCTGTCTGTTTTCGACATAGAACTTTGCACATATATGCGCCAGTTCAAGTCACCACACTCCCTCCATGTAACACACAAAGCAAGAGAAGAAAGTACAAGAAAGGCATAACAGGGATACAGTAAGCAGAGGTGTGAGATAAAGGAGGAGTAATAACAAAGAACAAAACAGTTTCATTGGAGATCATAAGTCACAAGGAGTGGATGCATCTTCGCTGGCCAGCCATTGAGAACGATGAGTTTGAGCCACGTCACCAATTGTTTCCAACCATAGATTTTTACCGTCCCGAGAACCCCAACCAGTCAGGAAGTCTACACCTTCCTACGTGACTGGCTTAGACTAACTGTTGTAGATTTGATTGACTGGTGCCATGTTTTTGTTTGACCGCCGCTAGCTTTTTCCCAGCCTGACCCTGTATCCGTTAACATTGCTCGTCGAGGAAGGCGATGACTAATCAGGGATGCGTGACACATGTCCTAACAATCTAAGTCTTTGTAACTTCACAACTTTGAACTCGACACCTAACCTCAGTATTGCTCACCTTATTACGCCAGTTTACACGGGAAACAGAACGCAGGCACCTATGATCAAAGACAGCTAGCTAGGCCTTTCATGTCTTCCACTCTCAGTGGCCAGGTCTCACAACCATAAAGGAGGACGGAGCGGACTGATGAGCAGTACACCCGCCCTTTGGTCGATAGTCGAACATCTCGTCTACTAAGCCAGAGTCGGCATAAACTGGCAAATGCGAAACAAGCCCCCTGTATTCGTACTCAGCTGAGATTTCGTCAGAGATCAACCCATTGGCACTGGCTGATGGTACTTCCCAAAATAAGTGAAGCGGTCAACGTGCTCCACCAACCACTTCACTCCCTATATCTAATCGAGGAGTCGCTGCAGTCCAGTCAGT